AACAGGAAATGACAGCAAGGACCAGATTTAAAAGAGAGCCTGTGTCACTGACTTTAGCAGTCCTGATGGGCCTAAGAATTGCAGCGGGACTAAAAACGGAAACTGCAGCCTTAATACCCGGGTCCCAACAAGTCTCAGAATTACAAACTGCAATTGATCATGATTTAAAAGCCTTAAAAACCTCAGTAATTGCTCTGCAGGAATCCTTGACTTCCTTGTCCAAGGTGGTACTGCAGAACAGGCGTGGGCTAGACTTACTGTTTAGAAAAAAAGGCGGCCTATGTGCTTCCTTAAAAGAAAAAAATGTTGCTTTTATGCAGATCATTCGGGAGTGGTAAAAGAGTCCATAGCCAAGCTTAGAGAGCGTCTCCAAAAAAGACAGAAAAAACGAGAGGCACAACAAGGCTGGTTCAAGTCCTGGTTCACTCAGTCCCCTTGGCTCACTACATTGCTGTCTGCTTTGGCAGGACCATTAATTGTACTACTTTTAATAATAACCATTGGACCGTGTATTTTAAACAGAGTAGTTAACTTTTTACGGGGCCAAATTAAAAATGTGAAATTGATGGTTATCAGAGAACAATATTCGGTCCAAAACGGCCCTGAAAAACTCTCTGATCTCTAGGATTAGGGATTTGTACAAGAAGAAGTGGGGAATGTAAAAATGTAAAAGTAAAGATTTTTGTGGGAACCAGCTGGCTTCTGACCCATAGATAAGCAGCATGAGATTGTCCGGAAAGGAGAGGCTGGAAATGTCCGGACATTATCTCCTGTCCTTGGGAGAAAGAACATCTTGTGTTGACACAGAGCGCCTTCCCCCCCTCTGTCCATGAGCGGAAGAACTCCGCATTCCTGCACACACCGCCCCCCCCCCGCCGTCATAGAAAACCAATAAGTGTAAAAAACAATATAAACTAACCAATGCTATCTGCTTCTGTAGTGACGCTTACAAATCCCCTCCTTTGCGGTTTTTCGGGTTAAAAAGCCAGAGCTAACCTGGCTCGGGGCTCTCTGTTCCTGCGAGTTCAGTGATCCCCACGCATGCTTGATAAATAAAAATCCCCTTGCTTTTTGCATGAGAGAGCGTCTCTTGGAGTCTTCCTTCACGCGGCGAGTGTCACGACCCTTACAACCTGAAGCTGGGTCACCGCAAAACTGCATTCTCCCTGCACAGGTGGAGATGCGGCTGTGAGCCGTAAGCCGCCTGAGACTGCACTCCTGGCTCGCGGGGTAGCTGTAGGAAGACGTACCCCAAAATAAAGCAGCAGCAGCTAAGGCAGGAGGGACAGAGGGGGCACAGGGATAGAGACCGGGAAGAACTCAGACCCTGGATCAAGCGGCGACGCTCAGGTCGGCCATTGCTGTTCCTTCCACTTCCGGGTTGATCTCGCCAATATCGCATTCCCTTCTGTCCCATCTCAGGGCACCCATCCCACACGGTTACCATTGCGTAGCTTGGGGGTCCTTCCCGGTCCTTCCAATGCAGGCTGCGAACAGTAGAAATCCTAAAGCAAGGCCGTGCAGCCAGGCGGTTTACCCTGGCTCCCACCCGGGCTCTCCAGAGATCTGGATTTTAGCGCAGCGAAGAAAAGCCCGCCTCCTTGCCTCGCTGATTGGATAGTTCGTACTGCCTGCGTCTTGAACACTGATTTGCTCCTGCTTCTTTGCCCGCCCTGGGAACTGTGACATCAGAAATAGAAACAAACAAATCCCTACTGGTATAAGTGGAGCTCAGGTGGTAGAATTGTAACCCAGACGCCTCTAGATCAGTTTCTCTCTCAGCACGTTGACTTGTCTAAGGTGCGTTTCAGCAGAGTTTATTCCTGATTAAATTAGTAAAGAGAAAGCAGAGGGTCGATGACCTTGGTTGGGCAGGAGGGCAGGATCCTGAAGGTAAACTCTGCATTGTATTGTAAGGTCATTGGGAGCCTCATTATTAGAGTTTGAAGGTCAGCAGTGGCATCACTGTTTTTGTAATTTAAACACAACCCTGCCCCTGAATTGAACATAGAGTTTAGGATGGACAAAAGTGAATGTAGAGCCCATATACAAGATTGAGTACATTCAGGACCTGCATGGTGGTAGATGTGAAATCAGGAAAGGTGGAATATTTGAGATATGGAATGTTGGAGATGGAGCTAGAATTGAGAGGATTTGAGGACTGGTGCATTCTGTGTAGTCCATGAGCAGGGATCAGCAGCTGGCGGCCAGTGAGCCTAGCTGGCTGTCATTTTGGCTTACGCCAATGGTTTTATTGGAGCCCATTTGATTATGTGTAGTTTGCAGCTGCTTCTACACTACCAGCATATGCTTAAGTAAATTTGACAGAGATCATATGGCCCATACATGTCACTTACTCTTTGGATATTTGCAGAAAATATCAACCCAGATTATAAAATGTTCTTGGTATTCACCGGGCACTGCCATGGTGGCTGGATATGCAGTTGTGAAAAAGTGAGCACAGGGCTATACTTACCAGATTCCTATTTTAGTTGGAGAGAGCAAGATAAGATCACCTTAAAAATAAAGGTAAATCACAGCATTAAAAGTGCTCTGGAGGAAAAATAGAAGGTGTTAGATGTGATTTGGGAAATACAAGAGCAAAAGCAACGCTTTTGTGAAGTGAGAGGAACCAGTAGAAATCACCATGGACTGTTTATTCATGCCTCTTGGCTTTCCACAGCTCTGCCTGCTCAGGACCCCGCCTGGCTCTAAGAGGATGACGGAGAGGTAGAAACCAGGGCACCTGGGTTGCCAGCCACTTGGCACCCAGAATAAGTCGACCTCTTTGCCCACAAAGAGCGTTGTTGTTCCCAGAGGCTGAACTTGTCCCTTTATGTTACCTGCCTGGTCCTTCTTCACCCTACACACAGGACTGGTCTTTACCTGTCAGGGGCTTGACCTCATGACGCCATAGTGGCAGCACCCTAGACAATGACTTCACCCCCTTACGCAGACACTCCCCACGCTGCTGAGAGCCAGGAGGGATAACAAGGCAAGGGTGTGCGTTGTCCTTGCTGTCTGCGCTTCATGGTCCTACTAGTCAAAGAGCTCATTTTCCCCGTATTTCTCTTGTCCCTACAACATGCTCAGGTCTGCTGGGCTCTGCAGCTAGGTGGGGATATGTCCAGGAAGGGCTTTTTGGTTATTTGAAGCTAAGTAATTCCCCTCATGAAGCAGAGGCCTTTTGGCATGAGTTACAGCCTCGTCTTATTTGGGGAATAGTGAGTAGATAGAGAAGATTACTTATTTTTATTTATAAGAGAACATGGGCCTTTGTGCATGTACGAGCGTATCTTATCACTGAGCTACATGCAACTCCTAAGATATCTAATTCAGATGTATCAGCTGAAAGGCAGATGCAGGAGACTGCACAGCCCCCTCTGGACACCATCTTCATGGCATCTTGCTTCCTCAGTCCTGTCAGCTCCAGTGTTCTCTTGCATTTTGGTGGTGGGGGTGTGGTTTCTTCCTGAGCTGGAATGGGTATGTTTTAGGAACAAGTCACATTTGCAGATATAGTGTGGTGTTCAGCCCAGAAGAATGGGTGTGTTTGAATTCTCTTCAAGCTAGTATATACAAAGATATGATGTTAGACATTTGCAGGAAACTGGCCTCTATTCATAAGACGGCCTCTTTGCTTCCTCCACACTGAGGAGGCCTGTATAGATTGCAGTTACACTGCCGGTGTGGGGTACCAAGAGGTGAAAAGACAGATGAGTGAGTCCTGTGACTTTCAACTTTCACTCCAGTTGCCTCCTTGTGGATATGATATTGCACTGCTCTCTGTCTCTCCAAGATTAAAGGCTTTTGGGTGCAGCTCATAGTCAAGCCCTGGATTTTGGAGACCAGATAGCTGAAGTGTCCTCTCTATCCCAGTGAAGGGACTTGAATCTGTTTTCTTTCTTTTTTTTTTTTTTTTTTCAGTTTTTCTCTGGTACCGGGAACCGAACTCACGACCTTGCACTTGCCAGACAGACGCTTTGCTGCTGAGCTAAATCCCCAGCCCCAAATCTGTTTTCTTTCTGAAAGATGTTTACTGTGTCCATCAGCAATAAGCAGCTTTTGCTATGGCCAGACCCCCTGAAGACTCGAGTATGTGTGCTCTGGCCTCACGGTCAGGTGTGCTGAACACACACCATTTGTCTTTGTTTCCTGTGTGAGGATAACTAGGCAAATCCAGCACGGTGTCTCATTTGGAGCAAAGAGAAGAGCTGTGGACCATAGCGAGAGGAGTCTTCCCATGGGCCTTGTTTGATGAGCACCAGGAGGACCATGTGAGCACTGGCTCTCATTCTGAAAGGGAACCTCAGATTCAGAAACTGTTGAGAGGGGGGCATTGTCATTGCCCTTGACCAAGGAGGCTGTTCAAGCTCCCTTCAGAAATCCACCTTCTTTCCTGCTTATCTCCAGTGCTTTTCTGTGGTTTCATCAATGTATTCATTTTCTCTGTTCATATTTAACATTTTCACGTGTATCCTTTACCTGGCTCCTCCCAACTCTACATTCTTGCTAATATTTCCATTCCCCATCATTCTCTACCTTTATGGAATCCTATCTAAGCAAGTTGTCTACTATGTTTTCCATTCTTTGTTCCTATGATTTCATAACTTCACTCACAGAACAAAACCTTAAAATTTTCACTTACGCTCTGATACATTCCTCCTCCTTGCACTTTCTTCTTATATTTGTCAGAGGTACCTGAGAATTTGGCATGTACCTTCTTACATTGCTGGTATTCAAGATCCTATAACTCTCTGTACTTCTATTCTTTTTGTGCCCTATTTCATTTCAGAACCCCAATTTCAATCCCAAGAGTCAATTCAAACCAAAGATATTTTTGCAGACTCCACCCTGGCTTAAGCAAGGTAAGATTCACAAGCGATTATTTTCATTCCTCTATTTAGGAAATATCTGGAGTTGTTGTAGGCTAGAAAAATTATACAAGAGTTGAGAGTTTTGTAGAAAAATGGCATTCAACCAGGAGAAAGTAGGCTCTTAGGAGACAGTCTCTGAAGGTCATGAATTTGTGCAAAACCCTAAATGGAGTTGAAGACTTGTATCTTGGGGGAAGGGCTGTATTTCAGGGGCACAGTGCTTGCCTAGCATGCACACGGTCTTGGATTCCACCCCAGGATGAGACAAAAAAAAGTGTCTTCACATATTTCCCACATATACCCATTTCCAGCAATTAGCCTTAGCTTCTAAGCATTTAAAACTTAGTTTGAGTTAAAATAACTCAAAGAAATTCTCCATCTAATAAGCTGATGAAAGTAAGAGGGTGGTCATAGTGAGTTCAAGACCAGTCTTAACTACACAGTGTGACCTTGTCTTAAAACAAACAAATAAAAACAAAAAAGACTATATAAGTTTAGTACATACAGAGTAATTTAGTGCTCTCTTTTATACAATGTGTTTAGACCTTAAACATATGAAGTGATGAAAATTTGACATTGCTTTAAATATTTTTATTTTAAAGATAAAAGAATGGAAACATATTAACTAACACAGATACATTTACAAACTAACACAAAAACAATACAACCAATACAGAATTTCAGACAAGGTAATAGGAAATGAACAATGGTTGTTGTATTACATATTGATATCTTCAAATTTGTTACTCAGACAAAAAAAATACGGGCATGTAAAATTCACAGACAAAAGACTTCTATCTAGAACGTATAAAGAATTTTAAAAAATCAGCCCCCCCAAATTCAAAGACCCAATACAAAAATGGGCATCTGAGATGAATACACACTTCTCAGATAAAGAAATACAATGGCAAATAAATACATGAAATAATGTTCAACATCATTAGTCATTCGAGAAATTCAAATTAAAACAACATTGCTTTAAATTTGATCCTGACATTTTAATTTGATCTACATTTATTGCATTTCATTAAGCAAGGCTTTTTGTTATGGTTTAAATTCGATAAACTTGTCTAGTGGATAATATGTCTATTTGCAGTCTTAACACCATTTCCTATATTTATGAGTTCTAAAGATTTTTTGTAATTGTTAGTACAGTTGCACAAAATAAATCCTGTTAAGAGCAAAAAATTTGTGTTGGGAGTAGAAATTAAATATTTGTAAAGATTTGTTTGTAGCTGTGATACAAATTATTGCTAATATCATATGAGATGATATATGTGTTTCCCAAGTGTACAGATGCAAACTAAGCAAAGTCACACTGGTGATTTCTACCTAAAGTTGTTTATGGTGGTGATCAAATATCTAGAAATGGAGATTATTTTTTAAGCCATAGGTTAAGTTTAGAGATAATGTCAAAATCTGTCTAAAATGACAAGGCTTTAAGATATTGATCTTTTCTTGGTAAAATTTGCAACAGAACTGTAGAATGCAAATTTTACATTCATCAAAATAATTTCCAGTGTTCTCTACAGTCTTGTTAGGATGACATGTTTAAAAATTGTCTTAAGAAGTTCATTTAGCTACATATATGTTTAAAGTTTTGCTTTATGATTCTGGTTAAATGAAATACTGTTGTGTCACTTTCCTTAGCATTAAAATTTAATTGTTGTGTTACAATGTAGTCATGATAGTTATTTTAATATGCTGTAAAAGTAAATATTTGGCTAAACTGTTACCTTGCGTATTGCTTGCAATCATATAATTGGCAAAGGCCACATCCTTTTTGATCAGTAAGACGCAGTCTTTTTCAAAAATACATGTTCTCAATTAGTAAAATAGACATTAATTTTTGCACATTGTATTAAAAATGTTTACAGTTCTGTATGTGTACTTATAAAATCCAAAAGATGTTACTGACCTGTAATTCTTGGTTTTGACATTAGGAAATTGTGTACTTACACCTAAACGGTACTTCATATCATTTACAAAAAGAGGGGACTTTCAAGTATTTACTTGCTGTAATTTTCTGGCAGAAGTAAATTTTGTTCACACTAGTATTGGCTTTCTCAATTACTTGATCACCTAGTTTAGTCTACTGTACAAACTAATTTTGCTTTACCCTTATTGGCTTGTTTTATATCTGTATATAAATTTTGTAGCTATTTGTCAAAATTTTAATGTTTTAGAGTGCTGACTCCACGATAGATAGGATTAACCTGGGTATGGTGGTACACACCTGTAATACCAGCACTTTGGAGGCTGAGGCAGGAGGATTGAGGCCAGCTTGGGTTGCATAGTGAATTTAAGGCCAGCCTCACTTACATAGTGAGACCCTGTCTCAAAAAAAGTAGAGGTAGCATTAAACTTTAAATTAAGTCTAGATAAACTTTGTCTAAGAATCACACTTTCTGAATCTGTTATTGCTCAGATTTGGTAAAAAGTGTTTACGATACTGTGTCCAATCATCTGAGTGGTGTAAGAGGAGTTATAAGCAACTTCAGACTTCCTTGCTCCAAGCACATAAAGACATGTCTATCCCAGGCCAAAAGCAGTGACAGAATATCCTGAATGTGGCCCCAGAAGCCTGGTGGCATTTTTTCTTTTTTTACAAGAAAGGGGAAATGAGATGCACATGGACATGACAGGAGGGACATTGCAGCAGCTTCTGGAGATACTTTTAACAACAATGGTGTTCATAAGCAGCTGGTGCCATGAACAGGAAATAAATGACCTCCTTTGGTATCAGTGGGGAGCAAATTAACCTGAGTATATGAACCTGAGTGGCCAGCAGGGTTTTGGTGTAGTCAGCCTGTGAATTGGGTGATTTCAAAAGGATAATGTCCATTGAGTTTCTGGCCACTGTGTTCTCTCTGGCATGGTGGCTCACCCTATGGTATACTGCGTACTCTTCTCCGACGTTTACTTGGCCCAAGCTCCCTCTGCAGAGACACTTTCTTTTTCTACCTTTAATAAAAGGTTGCTACCATTTGTGCTTGTTTTGAACAATTCTTTGCTCAGGACAGAGGAACCTAGAAACCGTCTCCAGAAAGAGACTGCAACACCCCAACATCTGGGAACATAACTACTTTTATTCTAGTATAGGTAGCAGGGTTTCAGCACTTTCTAGAAGCTTCCTATTAACTGGAGAGTGTGCTGCCAAGGTTCTGTGACGGGGAGCGGCTGGAGCTGTGTCTTCACCATATGAATGTAATGCAGGAAAATTCTCCCCATTTAATACCTGACAGTGCACTGAGTTTGGCCAGGGAGCTTCCCATTTGGCGATATGACAATACCCTTGAAGGCAGTATTCACGTGCACATTAAAATTCATCCTTCAGAGACACTAGGCCTTTTATCGGGTTAATAATATATATCCCTTAGCTACTGCAGTCTTAAAAAATGGTGCTGGAAAAACTGGCTTTCAACATGTCAAAGGTTAAACCTAGACCCATATTTATCTGTGTACTCGACTAAGACGGAAACCCTTATTCTGCTGAAAACAACAGCTACTCCTTCGATAAAGAACATCTATAATATATAAACAAATTTAAAATGAAACACCCCCATTTAAAGACCCAATCTAAAAAAAGGGCATCTGAAATGATCAGTTTTCAGATGAAGTACAAACAGCAATAAACATAAGAAAAAATGTTCAACATCACTCATCATTCAAACGTGGCAAATGAAAACAACACAGATTTTATTTCACTCAAGAAAGAATGGTAATCATCAAGAAATCAACCAAGAGTTAATGCTGGTAAGGGTATGGGTGAGAAGGAACCGTCTCCCTTTTGGTGGGAATTTAAATGGATAAAACCATGATGGCATGGAGATTCCTCAAAAACTAAAGCTACAGGTTCCATTTAATCCAGTTATACACCTTATTAGTGTCTTCCTGAGTTAAAAACATTCCATCAAGATATGTGCATACCCATAACAGCACAACTTATACTGGAAAAAAATCTTAGAAAAAAACCTTGTGCCCATCAACAGATGCATGGATAAAGACAATGTGATATGTATTTAAAACGGGAGTACTACTCTGCCATAAAGAACAAATTTGACTTGTTCTTATGTAAATCAATGCATCTTAAGGCCACCTGAAATTAAATAAATCAGACACACAAGTTTAAATATCACATTGTTTCTCTTGTGTGAGAAATCCAAAGTGTAAATAATGAGGAAAACTTTGACGAGCAGATAAAGTTTACTTACTATATATTTATATATAAAATAAACTAGGAAGAATGCGTTAAAATTGGAAGGGACATAAAGCAGTGGCAAGGAGGAAGGGAAATGGGGTTAAATAAAAGGATGGAAGAGAAAAATAGAAGCAAAGCTTCTGTAATATAGAGGTGAGAAATGCTGGAGTGCAGGGGGATGGGAAAAGAGAAAGAACACATATTTTGTACAGGTCTAAATTCCTTATGATGAATGTGATCATTATGTACGACAAGTATGTAGTAGTAGGAATTTAAAAAAGAAAAAAATAAAAACTTGAGGACATTTATTTTAAAAAATGAATTTAAAAATATTTAGTACAGTGATTTACAATTACTATATTTATACTTTAGGATATCTCTTATATTCTGGAGAAATCACATCATGTTGCTATGACTGACTTGCATAGGTTTTAACTATGTGAGAAGTGTTCAAATATTTTGAAATATGACTTACAACTAAGAACTTTGAATAGGCACATTGATCTCATCCAATACTCATTCTTACAAGTAGGACAGCTGAATGCTTCTACACATCCCTTATATATTAATGTTTTCTCAGAATACAGCATGTATTTTTATTGTGAATTAATCCAAAACGACTATAATATACTCTGACATGAATCTTTCCACTATGAAATGCCACGCTTGCTTAAGCCATGTTGACAGTCTTCTCACATTCTGCATATATTAACTCTGTGTGAATTTGTACATTTCTTAACATTATTAAAACCAGGACATTCCTTCTCACATTATTTACATAGGGCTTCTTTCATGTATTTCAAAGTGGAAGAACTAAAGGGTTTCCCATTTTTGTTATATACATATGCTTTCCCTCTTATGGGAATTATTGCATGCATTGAGAAAAATAAATTTTCCACACTGATCACAAATGTTCATGTTCTCTTCACTGTGAATTCATTCATTTATACAATGATACTTGTGTGTACTGATTTTTATATGGCTTACCAAGAAAGTACTTCTGTTTCTTTCATATTAGTGCAAGTTACTTTATATTTTCACAGTTAATTTACTTTCAAGATTTAATGTGTTTATTACTAGATCGAATGAAAGCTTTTATAAATTGCATACACAGGTTTTTCTACCTTGTATGATTACTTTCATGTACTTGACAATAACTGTATGTCCTGAAAGCTTTCCCACATTACTTACATGTATTGGACTTCTCCCTATTGTGAATTCTTTCATGTCTTTGACAAAGAATGTGTGTCCTGAAAGCTTTCCCACACTGCTTACATACATAGGGTTTCTCCCTAGTGTGAATCCTTTCATGTTTTCGAAAACAACTACTTGTGCTGAATGCTTTCCCACATTGCTTACATACATATGGTTTTTCTCCAGTGTGAATTCGTTCATGTATTTGACAGTAACTGCGTGTGGTGAAAGCTTTCCCACACTGCTTACATACATAGGGTTTCTCCCCAGTGTGAGTCCTTTCATGTTCTCGACAACTACCATGTGTTGTAAAACCTTTCCCACACTGCTTACATACATACGGCTTCTCACCAGTGTGAGTTCGTTCATGTCTTCGACAATGACTCTGTCTGCCAAAAGCTTTCCCACATTGCTTACACACATAGGGTTTCTCCCCAGTGTGAATCCTTTCATGAGCTCGAAAACAATTGTGTATCCTGAAAGCTTTCCCACATTGCTTACATACATATGGTTTTTGCCCAGTGTGAATTCTTTTATGTATTTGACAATCACCTTGTGCACTGAAAGCTTTCCCACATTGTTCACATACATAGGGTTTTTCCCCAGTGTGAGTTCGTTCATGTATTTGACACTGAGTACGTGTTCTAAAAGTTTTCCCACATTGTTTACATGGATATGGTTTCTCATCAGTGTGAGTTTGTTCATGTGTTTGCAACCTACTATGTGTGTTGAAAGCTTTCCCGCACTGTTTACATAAAAAGGGTTTCTCCCCAGTGTGAGTACATTCATGTACTCTACAATGCCTATATGTGCTGTAAGCTTTTCCACATTGCTTACATACATAGGGTTTCTCCCCAGTGTGAGTTTGTTCATGTTCACGACAAGAATCATGTCTCCTAAAAGCTTTGCCACATTGCTTACATGTGTAGTGTTTTTCACTCATGTGCATTTTTTCATGGACTCTATAATCACTGTGTGTGCTGAATGTATTCCCACACTGTTTACATACATAAGGTTTCTCCCCAGTGTGAGCCCTTTCATGTATTTGACAATAACTGTGTGTGCTGAAAGCTTTCCCACAGTGCTTACATATATAAGGTTTCTCCCTATTGTGAGTTCTCTCATGATTACCAAATGAAGTCTTATTAGTGAAGGATTTCCCACAGTGTTTACATACATAGGGTTTTTCTCCAGTATTACCTCTTTCACGTGTCTGAATATCATGTTGAGAGTTAAAACCTTTTCCACATTGTATACCTGCATAGGTATTCACCCTACTAGGATTTCTTTTGCAAATTTGAACATAGCTGGCTGTACTGAGAGCTTTTACATCTTCCACAGATACAAAGGTCTTCTTTTCAGTGTTAGTTCTTTCAGTCCAACCCCAGTAGAATTTTCCACATTGGTCATATTCATATGGTTTCTCTTCTAGATTTGTCTTTGCATGGTTTGCAAAGGACTGCATGTTAGTGCAAATTTTTCCATGTTTGTTACAGTGAGACAGTTTCTCTTCAAATCCCCGACACTTGTATGATTTAAGTTCAGTGGTAGCTAAGCTGCACACAGGGAGTGAAGAATGACCTATCTGGAGATTTCTAAAGGCACGGCTTTCACTTGCTTCTGTACCAAATGATTTCATATTCACTTGATTATCTGGAGTCAGAAAAACCACTTCTTCTTGTTGATACCATACTTTGTATTCACAGCATTTCATCACCTCTTCACGTCTATAAAAGAATAAAATAACACAGCAACCAGTTATCACATATAAAAGTGTCTTTTCAATAGTGATATATCAGTAGGAGGACAGGTTTGATGCTCTTTGATCATGTGTGTATTGCATCCTCCACGTGATGGCTTGGAAAGAGCTTTTACCAAAGCGTTAGTGTTTACTTGGGAGTGTATAACTGACATATTAGTGATACACAGTACTTTCATTTTTAGGAACGGGCACATATATATGCTATGTATTGATTATTTCTGAAGATTATTTTGATACCTTCTTCTCCATGAATACCAGGTCACTCTTCCAGTCTCTTCACCCAGTGCTAAATATCTGCCTCTATTATACCACCTCTCCTTTATTTTCTTACTTAATTCATATTTTGGGTTTCTCATACTAAATATAACATGTTGTTGAAATTTTTTTGTTGGAATATTTAATTTTATATTATGGGCTCTAGATCCACCCAGTTGTTGGTATTTGACTATATTTCATTTTTCTTTATGGCTGAATACGATTCTGATATGTATATGTAGCATATTTTTTTCAGTGCTGGAGGCTTAACTGAGAGTTTTAGTAGTGACCTACATACCCAGCCTTATCAGGAATTGAACTCAGGACCTCATGCTTGCCAGGCAGGTGCTCTGCCACTCAGCTGTATCCCACGCCCCTGTTTTATATTTTAAAACATCCCTATCCATCAGTTAGGTGGCAGGCTGAACATGAATGTATGACCATCTTCCCTCAACTTCCCAGAGTCCGAGAATTCCAAGCATGCACAATCATGGCCAGGCTATCCCATATTTCCTCGATAATTCATCTGTGTATGGGCATCTAGGCTCTTTGCAGACTTTAGCTTTTGCCGGTTGTGTTGCTACATGCAGGGGGCATGCATGCATCACCGTTAGATAACCACTTTCAATTTGGGTAAAATATACCCAGGAAAAGCACAGATGGATAAAATGGAGTTTCTAGTTTTACTTTTTTTGAGGACTGTCTATACACATTTCCATAGATGTTATACTTCAAGAACATACCAACAATACTGGAAGGTGACTGCTAATATTTTAGAACATGAACACCCTGAATGTTTTGAAGGATTGCTTGAAAACATATTAACACAACACTGGTATTCATTTACTTCCACATGCTACACAAATTTGCAAATACAGAATGTGTATACAACATTTAAATATGTATTGCATTTCTTAGATAACTTGTTTGATATGAAAGGAGTCTTCAGAGAATAATATATATGTATGAGTAGCCTGAACTTGGTTCTCAGTCTAAACACAAACTCTGTTTTATATACTCCTATAATTAATGCATAGAAACAATTTCATTCAATACTTTTATAAACTTGAACATGAAAAATAATTTATTCTCATACATTAAATAGTATCACCTGTGGCATGAGGTCAGTACTGCCTACATTTTACATATTGGAATATTTCCAATATTTAATTGTTAGATTATAGATACTCAAAATGTATACATTTGGAGAAATTTCATGAGATTAAAGAAATTTAAATGTGGTCCTCATTTATATAGATTTTCTTGGTTTGAATATTTTTGATTCTTGAGGAATATTGTGTGAGAATAAATTACCTTAGATTTTCCCTGCAATTTTTGTATTCATCTTCGATCTGCTGTTCATTCCAGTTCCTTCCTAAAGTATAGAAATAGAAATATTATGGCTTTTCTAGATGTCTTCCCAAAGCTTTATGCAGGAGGTGGCTGGATCTGGTATGTGTGATATTCAGATTAAGGATGTGATATTGGCATTGATTCGTAAGAGTGCCCCATCCTGGGTATGAGTGCAACTTCAATAAGGGTGGGAGCCTGGGTGTGTTATAAGGGACAAACAGCACTGCTGTTGTGGCTTACTGCCTTCCATGGTGCCCCTACGCCGTGCCGTCCTGTCTTGGGGCCTGTGGCCTATAGACTGAAATCGCTACAAGCTGTGAGCTGAAATAAACCTTTCCTTCTTTAACTTTGGGTGTTGGGAATTTGGTCTCAGCAATGAGAAAAATTACTAAGACAAGAAATATGATGAGTTGCTGCATTACATGAAAGTTATAGATTCCAGTTAAATTCAGAGTATACTGTGACCATCCCTGGAAGAGTCATCAAGTGTTTCCATATTCCAATTTAGTAAACTACACTGATGTAACAACCAATGCTCACTGAATGCATAAATGGAAAAGGATGTCTTCCTTACCTATAGCAGCCACATTCCTAAAATTTTCCCACATCACGTCTTTGTAGAGCTTCCTCTGGGAAGGATCCAGCAAATCCCACTCCTCCTTGGTGAAGTTCACAGCCACATCCTCAAAGGACACTGCATCCTAAATCATTACACATATATATCCAGGAAAAAGAGTGAGAGTCAAAAATGAAATAATTCAACTCTACCTATAAAAACGTGACATGAGGCCAAGTCTTCCAAATGTTTCCTTCAGGTCTTGGTCATCAAGCATTTATTCTCGATCCACATAACCATTTCAGGAAGGAAATCAGATGTTAGATTGAAATTTATGGCTGAAGCAACAGCAGAATGGGAATACTGAATATCAACTTTACTAGCATTAGCAAATAAATCTCTTTCTTTTTTGCTTTTATTTAGCATTTTGACACCTGACCTATTCCATACAAAAAACATTAACTGATCACTAACTAAAATTCATGAAATGTGAATAAAAATATTAATTTTTTGGAGAATGTCTAAGAGCAATGAAATTAAGAAAAATGCTTTATTTTATATCTGCATGACCTGAAAGTTAGCATATGCGAGAAAACTGGGGAAATGGATATGACCAGTACGTGTGAACACCAAAGTTTTGTAAACAAAAGGTATCAAAAGCAAAATGAAAATTTGAAGAAAAGCTTTTCACATTTCTAAATCTTACCTTTTCTTTTTTTGTCTTTTTGAGACAAGGTTTCACTATGTAGTTCAGGTAGCCTCGAACTCACTTTGTAGCTCAGGCTGGTCTCAAACTAGCAGTGATCCTCCTGCCTCAGCCTCCCAAGTTGCTGGAATTACAGGCCTGTGCCACCACTCCTGGACAAATCTTATCATTGATGTGTCAATAAAAATTATAGCTTTTCCACATAAATGTTAGTAAATCATAAATAAGGTGATGCTTTCTTTAATATACAGTGAAGATATTCTAAATTCACTGTTCAAGGTACAGTTCTCAGTAGGGAGAATGACAAATAGATCACAGGAAAGGAAGAGGAGCTTGAATTGGGACACGATAGAGGTCTTATTGTACAAAATTGCAAACATTAAAATCTCTTTAAAACAGGGGACAGAAATCTGGGTGTGGTGTTGCATGCCTCTAATGTTAGCACTCGGGAGCCTGAGGCAGGAGGGTCACTGAAGTCTGAGAGCAGCCTGGGGTACAAAGTGACCTTAAGGCCATCCTGAACTGCATAATGAGACCCTTTCTAAAAAAAAAAAAAAAAAAACCACACACACACACACACACAAAAGAACAAAATGGGATAAAGCCAAGGAAGAGAAAATGGGGACAAGAAGAACAGTTACATCACTGATATGTATATTTTATCTTTCAGATTTCATGTAAAATAATTAAGTTACTTCTTAAAGTACAAAGATAAACCTGAATGCCTTTAGAATTACACTCAAGAATCTCTTGGATATGAAAGAACTATTTCCCTAGAAGAACATTACGGCACCATCAAAATTAGACAGAGAAATTGAAACTTACATAGATCATGGGAACTAAAAAAGAACTGAGAAAATTTTCAGTGTACACAATAAAAAGGAAAATGAACAAAACATATAATTCAAGGGAAAACACCAAATGTAAAACAAGACCCGTAAGTTTGGTGGAGGAAATAGCCAAAATAAAAAGAATTATGGAAAGATACAACTAGTAAATAGAGGTATGAAAGAAGGAAGAATGAAATGATATACTCTACAGCCATATATCAAAATCTATAGATCAGCAGCTTTATGTGAATGTCCTGAAAATACATTGTGCCATTTTTTTTCTTTTGGGAACCAAATATGATTCCTTTTACCAAGAGAATGTATGAAAAGCACTTTATGCCTGACTCAGATATGAGTACTTTGGGAACTTACTGATAAAAAGAAATCATATATAATGTTTTTCTGTGGTTTCTATGAAAATTACTTGTTGAACATTTCAAGGGAACATATAACAGCATACTGCATAGTGACCATTAAAGGCACAGTGAAGAAAAAAATAACAAAAGAAACAGCACAGTGGATACTTTTAACAATGACCCAAAGCCCTGTTATCAAACTTTTGGGATTCCACGTATATTATTCAATCTCACATAAATTTATTAACAATGAAATTTATTGTAAAATATTGAAACACTAAATTACCACATGGAAAGAAAATTACATTGTATATATTTACTCACATTCTGACATGGCAAAGAATGAGACATACTTTACATATTGGGTATAGTAAACAAAGCAACACAGTTGGAAACATGAGACTTCCAGACACCTAGCAGCAAATGGTGATGAGACTGCATGTTGCCCATCAGGACAAGTGCAAGTGAGGAAGTTAGAGAAAGACAGACATCAGAGCTAACTAATGAAAACACATCCTACTGACAGTGCAAAATCTTTCACTGTCTTTAAGGAGTGGCTTTCATAGTCACAATTATGGAGATATGGCATAGAAAACCCAGAGGACATCCAAAGGAATATTATACCCATAACTGAGAACTAGGCAGATTAGAGCAGTATTTTCAATCATGTACAAGGATCTTGACAGAGTGAAGAAGGGAGCCTGGCCTGAGAAATTATCGAGGTTTTTTGTTTTGTTTTGTTTTTTGAAATTATTGCGTTTCAACAGGGAAACACAGTGAGAATTTACTCCCAAAGACAGAGTTCTGGACTGTCAAAGCATCTGTCAGATTTAAAGTTGAGAACACTGAAATTGTTAATCACATTGTTTGAAGTGGGACACTAGGGGAATGAGTGTTAAGGGGTAAACATTGCCACTAAAACTCAAAAAGGACTCATGTTGTCTTGGTTACTTTTCTCTTGTTGCTGAGACAAAATACCCGACGCTGAAAATTAAGGAAGGAAAGGTTTATTTAGCTTACAGTTTGTGGAGGTTTCAGTCCATACTCCAATGGTTCCAAGGCAGGGTGGCACATGGCAGAGGGCAACAGTTCATGGCAGCAGAAAACGACAAAACCAACAACAGCAAAAAGGGAGGAGTAGCGGCAAGCAGCCTCTTTCTCTCCCTTACATATGCAAACTATCTGCCCCTGGGTGGGTGTAGCACTCCCAACCACAATCCCAGCATTGGATCATGGATCAATCATAAACTCTAAAAACCTGCCCCATGACTGCATGAGGCTTTGGGGGGACATCCAGACACAAACCATAACACATGTACTTTCATTTTCCAGTTCACTTGGATAGAGATAGAAGGAATGTTTCTTTTTCAATTACAACAAAGCAACCTAACTTAAAACCCACAACATGAAAACTAGAGATACTCCTTGTTTAATGATGGACTTATGTTCTTGTGACTCGTCATTAAATGAACAGTTCACTAAAGAAGGAATTGTATGTAGTATGTACATTACCATATTCAGAAATAGTCAAAGGCAACTCCAATCAATGAATTTTCCTAGGACAATCCTACATTATAAAGTCAAATGCAGGCTGTAAATCTGAATTGTGCACCTCAGCAGTCAATACTGAGGTGGGTCGTTAAGAGAAATTGCTGTATATTGAGAAAAAAAGGAGATGGCCTGACATATAACATAACTGCATAGTGAAAAGGAGATGGCCTGACATATAACATAACTGCATAGTGAAAAGGAGATGGCCTGACATATAACATAACCGCACAGTGAAAAGGAGATGGCCTGACATACAACAGCATACTGCATAGTGACCATTAAAGGCACAGTGAAGAAAACTGCTCTCATGAAACTCAAGAACAGAATTTTCCTAATGAACAGAGACAAGAGATGTTTGAGAGGTAAGAACTCTTTCGGCTGGAAATTAGGCAGTATCTACAATTAAATGGTAAGGCCAGTACAATATACCACAAGTGATGGGATGAAATGAAAGCCATTTTAGAAGAGAATTCATAGTCGTGAGTTCCTACACTAGAAAAACACAGTGAGCTCAAATTATAAGCTAATTTTTAACCTCAGGGTTATAAAACAGATCAAATTAAATGCAAAGTGCATGTAAGAAAGGAAATTATAAAGATCAGAGCAGAAATTAATGCAACTGACATAAAGAAAACAAGGCAAAGAATTGAGGATTCAGAGTTTGTTCTTTGAAAGATTAAATAAAATAGACAAACCCCTACCCAACATTATCAAATAGGAAAGAAAAAGACATAAATCTGTGTGCAATAAGGAATGAAAAGAGTGAACTCATAATGGAACCTGCAGAAATCCACAAGATCAACACCCATGTTGAGAACCTGTACTCTAATAGATGGAAAATGCAGAAATGGACACATTCTTTGACATATATGAATGACCAAACCAAAATCAAGAAGATACAAAAATTTTAAATAATCCAATACAGTCCATGAAACTGAAGGTGTAATTTAAAAACTACCAACAAACAAGCTGCAGGTTCTAACCTATTCACTGCTGAATTCTGTAGGAATTGAAACCCAATTCAATTGAATTGAACTGAAAGAGAAACAATTCAATTGAATTGAACTGAAAGAGAAACAATTCAATTGTTTGAATTGAAAGAGAAAACAATTCAATTGAATTGAATTGAAAGAGAAGCAATACTTCTAAATTCATTCCTGGAAGAAAGCATTACCCTAATGCCAAAAAGAGAGAAGAATCCCACCAAAAAGAGAACTCTAGGCCAATCTCCTTCATCTACAGAGATAAATAAATCCTCAGTAACATACTAGCAAATAGAATGCAACAAAACATCAAAATTATACAGCAAGAGCATCATGGTTTGTGAACATGTGCCCCCAAAGACTCATGAAACCACAGATGAGGGTATTCCAGAGTTGTTTGATTCTAGAGTGTGTGATTAAGGCTATGTATGAAATCAGTCCTCTGACATGTACATAGACTGAGGTAGGATAAAGGGTGCCCTACCCAGGGTACATAAATTATAAAGGACAGAGAGAGAGTTACTATACTCTTGATACTTTGTGTTCGCAGCTTTTTTTTGTCTTACTCTTGCCATGAAGTGTTTTGTGCTCTGCAATGCCCCTCTGCCTTACTACCCTGCGTACACACCAGACAAATAAAGACTACATTCTCTAAAAACTGTGAACTAAATAAAGTTTCTCCCTTTAACTTTGAGTGGTGGGTATTTTGACTCAGCAGT